CAAACCGCCCCCCACTTCCCCTCGCTATGCCCCCCATGTAGCGATCGTTCCGTAACAACATCGGTATTGACTGACCAAGAAACTTCTGATTGCTATCCATAGAACATTAATCCTTTTTTTGGGGGGGGGAAGGGAGGTTGCCATTAACAGGAAATTGCTAGCGAGAAACTTTCTACCTGTGATAAATCGTTCGAGGTCTTCCAGGTTGCCTGGAATCCTCTCGACACCAGCGAGCCATAGGGAATGAAAGTTGCGATCGGAGCCAGACGTGTTTTTCCTGCAGGTGGCAATTTATATAATCTACTTTTACAGTATTCTGTGACGACGCCGAACCGAGTTGCTGCAAAGTATGTTTTAAAATCATAAACAGCATTCGTTAACCCGACCTGCATCGACCCGCTCTTAAGCCCGATCCTGCACCATGCACTGAGTGCAAGATGTAGCCGGAGAAAGACCTCCCAAGCGTGGACGACGCCTCCATCCCTCGACGAGAGACATCTACTGCTGGCCTCGTGAAGCTCTAGACGGGTCTCGCGTTGCAGCGTCCACGAAGGGTTCAGTAAGCGGGAAGGCGCGAGTCCGGGCGTGACCTCTGCTGTCCGCCTGGCTCGCTGCGAAGTGGAGGCTTAACACGTTGAGGACTGGCGCCCTACACATAACGTATACAAATAAATAAATGCAAATAAATAAGAGCACAAATGACGGTAAGAAATCGTATTAAAAGAAACATCAGAATGTCTACAATCCACACAAGCACATCACAGAGCAAAATATTACACAGAAAGAATCGCAGGAGTGTGAAACTACACCCTCCATGAAAACACAAATTTGTGTCTCCCGTCCTCAATGTGTTAAAAGCCAGTCGAGAATGTAGGCACTTCGCACCTCTGGTGATTTTTATTGTTATTTAAGATTACCAGCTTCTTTCAGAACTTCTCCATGCACCCTTTCGACGAAGATCCTTTGATCCGGCTTCATTTCCAGGTTTTGGACTTGAGACTTAGTCGACTTCTATGTTATCATTCATGCACGATGTTGAAGCCCGCAAGTATTTTTTATTTGTTTAAATTTCCTGAATAATCCACATTGTTCAAGTAGTCAACGAATTTGCGCATGTATCTTTCCAATAAGAATGCAATATTCCCAGCTGACATATGAAAGTCATATGCAAGGAGGTCACAAAGTCTGGAAACAAAGGATCGTATTAAGGATATATGAAGATAATGTACAAATAAACTAAAAGAAATGTTCAAAATGTTCTCCTGTTGAATCAATACAGATTTGAAGGCAACGTTTGAAGTGCTGATGAACCCGATTAAGTAAATTGGCATTTCCAAAAAATTATCTTAATATATCCTATGTTTCCAGACTTAATGGCCACCCTGTCTAGGCATCCAAGTAAGTCATACAATTTCCCCCTTGTTCCCGTCCATTGCAGCCACAGTGACTCCCAGACTTCTTAGAACTGCGACCCACTTGCGACGCCCAAAAAAGTTCGTGACCCACCGCAATCCAGAATGAGGTATTTTAAAATTAATTATGGCATGAAGAAAACTCATTGACCTTTTTGGCAGTGCTTGTTTTATTCTGACCACGACTTGTGCGTTTGGTGCGCTTCGCAGAGGTGCTCTATTCTGGGAGGAGTTTTTTCCAAGGCGAGTCGGAGATCGTTCTCCACTTGCAGCCGCGAACGAAACTTTGTTTTTTTTATCGAAGTCAGAACAGAGAATCCTGTCTCACACAGATATTTGAAAGCGAAGGGGAGCAGCGCCCGCGTCACCTTCTTTACAAGAAGGGGATATTCTTTGAATTGAGAGTAAGGTGGAAGGAGAAGGAAGGACGGGAGACCCACAGGTAGAAGTGTGCAAGGGCCGAGACAATTCGATTATTCAGGATTGGCGTGTGCCAATCTGTGCCAATAGCTTTTTTTTATCGAGAGAAACTTGTCGCGACCCACCTTGAAGCCCTTCGCGACCCACAGTTTGGGAACCGCTGCCTTAGGATATCTAAATAACAGAAAAGCAGAAAAGAAAAATCAAAGAGATGGGTTTTGTCATTCATTGCCGCAGTGCAGATTTGGATCAATGAAACGGAAAGACATTGAAGATGGAACTAAAAAACAAAAAAGCAAACAAACAAATCAACCATTCCGTTCATGGTATGAGAGTAACGAAGTGACAAGGGAGGTTGAAACTTCTCCCAGTAGGAACAAGTCATATATACTGTGCGCCAGGGGTGGAAAAAGTTATGTAACCTGGTAACCAGGTTACCGGAAAGGGTAGCGACCGATCGGGAAGGCAAGGCAGGGATAAGAAAAATAAATAAATAAATAACTGAGAGAATGAAAGAGAGGGGGGAAAGAAGGAAATAATGCTTAAAGAAAGAGAGGGATGACGAGAGATAATCGGGGTGTTTGGGATGAGAGATTGTAATGGATCGAAATAAGGTAAATGATGACTGCGAAAAGATAGCAGAACCGGGAAGACATCTCCAAGCGACTGACGTCGGTAAGTTCAGGGACGAGTACATGGATTTTTTCTCCGTAGGCAAAAAGATCTCGGTATTGCTCGTTCCCTCGATCCTGGGGCTGTAGGTTCTCGCCTCAACGAAGAAGATGGGGGAGAAGAAAGACACCTCAAAAATTTGCCTGATCGTAACCACGAATTAGAGTTAGGTGGCGTCTTGCGCCTCGGAAACTTCTTCCTTTGCTCTTTTATCGATCGGTCGGCAGTCGGCCTCGGGTTTCAGGTTACCTGGCTTTCCGCCGACAGATTAATTGATCCTTCGCGTCTCATTTCAAGTGACGTTATTTGACCCCAAAGTTGGGAGAATACATTGATCTCCATTCCCCATCAGAGCGCCGTCCAATCCGTAGCGTTCGCAATTGCTACATATCGAATTTTCCTGACTCAGATGAACGTCTCAATCCCTTAACATGACTATTGCGACTATTAATGTCTAATCCAAGGAAAACAACACGAGATGAGAGGGAGTTTCTGTCCCGTCCATCGATGGTCTGGCCTGATTTCCAACTCTGGGTGATCTCATTTTCCTCTAGCTCTCTCGTACTCTTCAAGTGTTAGTCCATCACCCTGTAATGCAGTGGTCGGCAACTGAATTCCCCGGAGGGTGGAGGGATGGAGGGATGGTCAAATGCTGTATGGTGTTGGCCGTTCAACCATTTAAACAAATGGTTGAACCATTCAACCATTTAGCCGTTCAACATCAGGGGTCATTAAAATGAAAATTTTAATGGACGTCTAAAGTCAAATATGCAGTTGAATATCTGCTGTCAGACCGTAATCCATGCACAAACGGCTGCGACATTTTTTTAAAGGACCAATTTGATGCTCCAATCGATCGACTGAAACGCGGGTGTCACCCACGACTCGTGTTCTTCCGGCTTTAGATCGTTCCACCCACTTGAAAATCGCTCTTTTCTTCAAGAACTGGTCCCCATTGAACATTTCGCAACCGTTGGTGCATGGATGCGGCCTTCTCACCCTCAGCCACAAGGAAATTTGTCACAATCCGGCTGCTTTCTCACAGGGTCCTCCGCCATGATTGTTTACCTCCACTCTGGTAAGGTTTGCCAATATGCGAAATTTATGGAATGTTATGTATGCTTTCCTTTATCATAACATAGCAAGATGCCGATTTTAGGTGCGACGTTCTAAGTATAAAAAATAAAGTCCACGAACTTTTCTTATTATTCCTCCCTCATATCCTTCCTCCCTCAAGTCCCTCGTATTAGCGTTTTCATGCCTAGTTGTGACTTAAAATTGATTTTTTGCCAACCCCCCCCCCCCTCTCCATTTTGCCCCTGCTCAGTCCTGGGAACCACAGGGTCACTTCACACATCTGTTAAACTGGGAAGGTAAACCATGGTTACCGGAAGCAGAATAACTTTTTCCACCTCTGCTCTGCGCATTTGGGATACTGGGAGAAGACCCTCCCCTCCCTCCAATAATCCCAATATCAATTGGTGTTTCACTCGCCATAGAAAGTCTCAGAGACCGCGACAGGTAAGGAGGATTAAATGAATCCGAACTTTAAATGCAGCGGCATACTGCTGGAAAGCAAAGCGGTCCTTCGCTCAGCTCACCCTCCCCCACTCCCCCGCTTGTCTGCAGCGAGACCTCCATGCAAGCCAAAAAGACCCTGGCGACGCCACGTCATATGAGCGATGAGTTGGGCGGGTACCGAGGGAGAGGAGGGGAGGGGGAAGGCCGCTCCACCTGACAAAAATTCTACAACCGGTTGGGCAAAATCACCTTACCCTCACTGAATCGCTCAAGGCGGTACTACCATTTATGAGCAAAATTATGCTGAATGCTCTATATGTAAATCATGGGTACTGGGTGGCATCGGTGTCAGGTAGTGGTTCTCATCCTGTCTGTGTGTCGCAGGATTTTACTTTTTTGGTTCTGAGGAATTTAATGAAACTGTGTCTCAGGAGTACACAATATTACCGCAAACATTTTACTCGTGTTGCTTATTCCTGGAAAGCAACTTTCATTCAGAGAGTTTTCATCAAGGAAGAATCCCAATATCAATATCGCTGCATCAATGAAGATCCTGATTACTTTTGCACCATATGAGGATGTCTACCTTCCCTTATCCTGGGTATTTAAAAAAATCTAAAATAAAAAAAAAAACAATTTCAAGTCTCGTCAGAGCATTAAATATGACCGGAGTGGGTTCGATTCTAATATTGAGCCCCATATTGCTTTCCTGTGCAACCAAAGACAAGCATAGGTAACGCATTGATGTGAAATTTAAAAAAAATAAAGATTTTGAATTAATCTTCTTGAAACGATCGTCTTGCCGGGTGACAATAAAAAAACCTCAGATGAAATCAGAGGTCCTGGTTTTCCATTTTTAGTCAGGCCGATAATTGTTCTGCATGGATGTGCAGGGATGCCACCGCCATCTCGTTGCCAAGAAAAGGTTGAGGACTGCCGGTGTATAAGGGAACGAGAAGAGAAAGAGACGGGAAATGCCTGGGTAACAAAATACTTTATTCCCCGAGGATGGTCTACACAGTATACAGAACGTGTGGCAAGAGGTTGTACTATTTCCGCCTCGAAAAGCCATCGAGAAAAAGGGAACACATCGAACCCTGATTCTCGGGGAGATCTTTTGGTTCCCGATCCACGTCTGTGTGCGTGTGCGTGTGCGTGCAAATGCCTTCTTCTAATCCTCTCCTCGAGGGCCTGCCGATCAAACGTTTCTTTTCCGACTTTTCACGCGGAACTCGCTGGAATCCGATCGCCGGATGTTTCGCCGGACATTTCGCCGGTTTTTCGCCCGTCTCCTGCCATCACGAGTGGCAGCGTCCCAAAATTCTATTCAGATCTTTGAACGGAAACTCGACGGTGTTGCAGGGCCCAAACTCTTGAGCGTGCATCACAGGTTCTGAGACATCGAAATGACTCTATACATCTTCCACGAATAATGCCAAGGGATCAAAACAAAAACAATAACTGGATATTGAGAAAAGGTGAGGGATTAAGCCCCAAAACATACGACCACGAACATCAATCACATCTCATTCTCTCATGTCCTCAATTCCATTTGAACAATTTATCGTAATTATACGGTGAAGTGTAGCGAACAAAGAGTGTAGCGATCCTCAGTGTGAACCAAAGTGAAATGTCCTAAGAAATATATCACAAGTATCGTCTGAACTTGTAGGAATAAACTTCATAAACACATATTAGGCTATTTTCGCAACGCGCACGAGATTCCCCATCACGAACGGGCTCTAGTCTAAAAAAAAAAAACTCATTCGACCTTTTCACGATCGCATACAGATACATTCTCACTCGCACGGGGGCGCATGAAATGAGGACTAGGCTTCACACTCCGATGTGGACAACAGGATCACACCATTTCCCACCGAAGATGGGCTTCAAAATAATCAAACGAGAGAGAGCAGAGAAGTTCCAAATGCCCAGATAGTTTCGGTTCCCGAATAGGGTTAAGCGTATTTGAAAGGGTATTCCGACGATAACGAAAAAAGGCACAGGAGCCGATTCAAGAAGGGAATCCGATAGTATTCGGTCGGAAAGAAGGAAGGGAGGGGCACAAGGAGAGGAAAGATCGATTTACAAGGGCTTGACAGACGAGAAATTGTGACAGAGGCAGCATGAGACGATGATACCGAAGATCTGAAAGATGGCTATTGCGGCCCCCACCCCACCGATGATGATGGAATTCCGGTCCAGCCATTCTCTCATCTTCATCAAGCATCCCTGCCCACACAACAAAACCAAGATCATCACTGCACCTCAAAAAAGTCGCTCAAATGAAGTCAATGAATAAAAATTGAAAAAACAATGTTAAAATAAAAACATTCCCCCCCCCCCTCCTAAGGCAGACGAGTCGTGCATCTAATATGCGGGCCATTCCGTTTATGACCAATGTGACATGAAAGGAGAACGCCCGAAAGGGCACTTTCGCGCCCACTGACGTCATATAGTACGCATTTCAAATGAAGTAAATGAAAAAAAATTGAAAAAACAATGTTAAAATAAAAACATTCCCCCCCCCCCCCCTTCCCCTCCCATGAACGAAATGGTGCAGTGAAGGAAGTGTGCGTGGATGCAGTAGCCAGAAGGGACAAGGAAGGCAACACATACATCTTGATAGAAGGATCCAGTTCCTGGATTGTCGGGGCAGGAGGTACTCTCGGGGATCATCTTCCCTTTGTCTTTCATGACGCAACACCCGAGCGGCAGCGCGTTGCTCGTCTGCGTGCTGCCCGCTTGTCCGGTCGTCCACGTCGTTGGGTTCTCTCGACGGAAATCTGTGTAGTTGAACACCCCACAGCAGTTCAGCTGGTTCGGAGAGAGAGAGAGAAAAAAAAAACTTGTCAATATCGTGTCGGGAAGATACGGTGCGTGTGAAACGGAATGCGATCTTACATCGACCATGAGTCGGTCCCAGGCCACGGTCACGTCATTCTTCGTCGTTGGAGTCGGGTACTTGTGCAGGGTGTTCAGCAAGAAGAGCTGCAGCTGATGCTCTGCCTGCAATCATCAAAGGAATCAATGTAAATAAAGTCCTCTTTTCCTTTTCATTCCCTCTCGAGTCCAGAGATGAGACTTGCTTCAGGTCTGTAGGCAAACGCAAGGGCGGCGAGGATGATCTCCGCAAGGAAGATGATGATCAAGCAAATGGCATACTGGAAAAGAAAGTAGACAAATTAGGACAAAGACGAATGGACGGTGTGAATTCGCTCGACTCCACCAAATTTCCTTCAAGATTTCTTGGAACTCTTTTTCCAGTAAGTCCCGTAATGAGAAGCATCGTGACCATCTACGACTGAAGCTTTTCGTGTTCTTTTCTTTCGTGGGCGTTTTTCTACGGTTAAATTACGTTGGACCTTGCTTGTGCGCAAGATTATCGTGCGATACCACAATAGGGGACACGGCGCTCCACAACTTGTCGTCACCTCATGGCTCGGCATAAAAATTTCAAATTGACCAATAACCATCTGCCATCTGGGAGCATTAGTTCAGCGCCTACTTGCTGGAACTTTTCCTCATGGTATAGGAGAGTGCGAAGAAAGCGAAAGCGTCACCTGCGGTCGAGGAGGAAACGAGATAGAACGTTCGTACGGAGGCATATACGCATATGACGCGATTGGGAGACTTGAAAAACACGGAGGTCGCCGCGAGGATCCGAGAAGCTGTGGCAGGCCCTGCAAGGAGTCTCGACGACCCTCGGTTTCTCATGTACAAACCACACCATTTACATCATTTTACACCCTGCATGCTTTCCATGCAACCCAATCGATGATTTCAATTTTACTGGGCCTCTCAAACTCATCGACACTCGAAAAGCCAGACAGGGATGATACGGTCGTCCTCATTCGGCTAGCAAGCGCACATTTAATGCAAGTGCCCGCTTTAAGTGTGCGTTACCTCCTCTACCACGAGCTAATTGGGAGGAAAAACTTTATATTACAGGCTATAGACGTCGGAATAAAATCGAACTTTCCACTAACGCTGCTTATTTTATTCTCTCTATACACAACAGGTTCGGAATTCTGGGAAATCCCTCGACTTATCAGCTGTATTGGAGGAATAGGCCAAAGATATCCATGCAGATATCCAGATTTTGGTCTCGAAGAACACAAAACCCAGTGAAATTTATTGAAGACTTAAAGCAATGTATGGGGACGGATGCCTTGCCTAAATTAAGGTCCACGAGTAAAACGTTTCAAAGTAGAACGGCCGAGAGCGAGTCCACGATCTAACCACTACCAAGTACCTAGAGCAGTGTTTCCCAAACGGTGTGCCGCTAGTAAGGCTTAGGTGCGCCGTGAGATTTGCAAGTTGACCAAAAAAAATTAAAAAAACTAAAACTAAAAAGAACTTAAAAACAAGCGGGAACGCCATCTCTCAGTGGAAAACGAGCTGAGAGTCGCACTATCACGCCTTGTACAAACTGCTGTGTTCAGCGAAGCTAGCACAAGTTTCCTATTAAAAGTAAGTAAATGGCTGGGTGTGCTGTGGAAAGTTCAAGTGTCCTTATGTGTGCCGCAAATAGAAAAAGATTGGGAACCACTGACCTAGGGTACCGACGACCCACTCTCGCGACACCTCCGACACAGCAGTCGACACTTGATTTCCGTGTATGCGAGGTAAATACGACATTGCCTCCTCCGCGAGAACGAAAGAAGCAACGTTATCGTGAAATGTCACTTAATTTTGACGTCCATACGCCAGTACCATTACGTTTTTTCACTTTTCGTTTGAACTTACAGTCACTAGCGTCCCCCGCGGCAACCCTCTGTTCCAGCGGGAAGAATAGGACTGAAGCCCCAGCAAAAACTGTACGCAGAAGCAGAACCCTTCGATTCGAGCTCAGAAATGGGAGAGCTAATTGTGAGGCACGTCGATTTAAAGTCCTAAGAAGCAGTGTCGTCCAATTACGTACATGACTGGTTTCCTAGTTCGTATTTCAATCCGAAAACAAAGATTCCTTTAACCGATCCAGGTAATGAGGTCAGAACTGAAGTCGATGACCGTATGGTGTCAATTCGGAGCCTCACCAGTCACAGCTTAAAATGAAGCGATAATGAACCGGTTGAAGTGCTATCGGGGGTTCAAGCAACTCGTCCGGCTACGTGTCTGGTTTGACCGCTCATATAAATGCAGCCTGGCAGCTCAAAAGTCGCACCTGGAGTAATTATGGAGACATAAAATCCGCATTAATTGAAATTATATACGAAGTACCGGTCTTCCAGTTGTGGCTGGCTACCCAGCACTGGACACCACTGATGGAGAGATTGGGGGGGGGGGGGGGGGGGGGGGCGGGGACCCTTCGGGTGCGAGCTCCTAAGTCACGTGTCTCTCTAGCTTTTATTTTCGTCAGAGAAATCTTCGTTATCTGAATCTAATGAAGTTTTTGATGATCTCATGAAGAGGGACCGGGAATCCGACCATTTTTCACCTGGTGTCTGTCGCCAACTCCGGCTTCGAACGAGCGCAAAAGATGGAATAGTAATTATAAAAACGATTTGGACCTCAATCACCGACCTGTGATTTTAACTACTTTCACGGCTATGCTTGCAATGTTTATTTTTAGCTCAGCGTAGTTTTGCACCTCCGTGCACAACGTGACGACACATTTAGTGTCTACTGCTTTCAAGCCCATCCCCCCCCCTGCCCCTCCCCTTTTCCATCGAAGTCACGGTGCTGATGTAAGAAGAGAGGGCTCTATGACGCCGCATGCTTCCTCGCCGGAGTCAGCGCTTCAAAGAGGAAGCATCTCGTGTGGGTTGAATGAAGGTCTCAAATGCAAGAACTATATGGCAAGGACTATCTGGTGGATTCCATTAAGTTCAACACGTCACGCATGTTCAGGGCTGAGTGATTTTGAAACCGGGAAATTGGCATCCGATGGCTTTTACATCAATTACGTCCGTCTCGTGGATCGGGATCAAGATGAGCAGAGAGAATTGACATTGACGGGAAAACAAACGGAAAGAGGGTTGTTGACCGGTTCCCATGGGAACCGAGAACAAGACACAAGTGGCACGCCAGAATGCCAGATGAGAAACGATAGCGGGACGAGACTCCATCGAGAATTTCATGAATTTGTCAGTACTTTCGTATCTACACAAATTTTCGCTCGACTTACGATGAGGAGAAGGACTCGAGATTCCAAGCAGGCTCCGCAGCAACCGAGAAAGCTGATGATGGTGATGAACGCTCCGATCGCAATCAATCCGTAGGATCCTTTGTCCAATATCGACGGGCTGAACCAATTCTACCGGGGAAAAAAAAAATCATGGAAGAAGTGAACCGCCAAGTAAATATTTTTACCAAGGTTCGCACCTTGGTAAGAATATTTACCAAGGTATTTCGAGGCTTACATCGAGCCCGGGGAGATTGGAGAGCGCCAACATCTTCATGAAGGAGCTCTGGTCCGACTTGGCCCAGATCCCCAGGGCCAGGATGACGACACCGGACACCTGGCAGCCCAAAAAGCGATCGTTTAAGAGTTTCTTCTGGTTAGAAACGGGGGAAGAAAAAGGAAAGCAAACTGACGAAGAAGAGGAAGTTGACGATCCATAGGATATACTTGTAGATGGACGAAACGGGATTCAGCGCCATTTCTGAGAAGAAATCTGGGCTTCTTAAAGCCTCTCGATCTGTCGATGAGAAGGAAAGAAACCTGATGAAGACGTTTGTCGAAAGTAGGAACTGGTCCCGAATCGCCAGGATCCCGAAACGACATTCCGACTACGACTAAAGCGATGTCGGAACCGACGAGCAATCTCATCGGTCGCTTCCCGCGTCGGCTTCCGACAAGTTCGGCGAAATCGCGCACGGCCCCCTATCCCCCCGTGACATCCACTCTACGTAGGCTTACACGGACCGAGGGGAAGGAGGGACGGGACACCGATCCTGGGGTCCATTCTGGGGGTAACTTCGAGGGATGGCAGGGGGGTGGGAGGACGACGGTATGTCTTAGTCCGAGATGTCCCCGGGAAGACAACGCGGTCTCGGTTGTCGCTATCGGAGCCGGAACTCGCCCGGCCCTCGGACGATCCCGAAACGCTCTGGAATTCGTCCGAATCATCTTCATGCGGGTAGTAATAGTACAATCGGCCCTGGCCATCCTGGATCAACCGGGGAACGGGATATAATGCCGGCGCGGTGTCCGACCGACTTCTTCGAACCATGACCAACGGATCGAAGTGGGAACTTCCCGAGGTCGTCGAGGATGAGACCGGTGAATGGAATTCCTCGGCTCGGACTCGTTCAGTCGATTCCACCGAACGCCTGCACACACGTTCGTAACCATCTTTGCATATCCAGTGCCACAACTAAAATCGTACGCGATTCGAAGCAAGGTTCGATGCGGAGACGACATTCTCGTCGTGAACTTGATAACAAATGTCGGTGGCGATTGTCTATCGAAACCGACATTCGTTATCCAATTCGATGGCGTTTACCTTCTAATTACGTTATCCTCTTCTCGAAAGATGGGATGCCGAGCAGGCCTTCTGCTTGGAACGTTTCTAACCGGCGGTGAAGGTATTCTAGTCGCGGACCGACTTAAATCTTGGGCTTGTCTGGGTCTCTGAGGGTGCCGGACGCGAGGAGCCGGACGCGAAGCCCCGCCGTGACGCCGCGGGGGGACTCTGGTCTGAGGCCGAGAAGGGGGGTTTCTCCGGTTCGGGGCCGGAGGTGGGGGTCGAGCCGATCGAGTGGGGGGTCGCGGTCGCGGTCGCGGGTACGGGCGCCTCGCGATCGTCAACGGGGGGCGGAATATTCGGAGCAACTGAGCGACGAGGTCTCTCCTCCAAGGCAATCGCAGTTGGTTGCGGAAGTAAAAGCGGGACGTCGCCGGCCCCACTCTCGACGATACTCTCCTCGCGGGCAGAGCCATTCTTTCGCGGATTTCACACTTAGGTCTTTGAGGTGCACGTCTCTCGTCCACGAAGCCCGCGCTTCCCCCTTCCTCCTTTCCGTATCTGATCTCGCTTCGTTGTGACGTTTGTGATGTAGTGGATGTTTAGGTGACATCCGAGACCCTCGTTTCTTCTTCAAATGTACCATTGTTGGCGTATCGTGTGACTCCCCGATCTAAGGTTTCGCTCGCCCTCTCTTCTTCCCACTTCGTCGACGAGGGGGCGCCTATTCACCGAGCACGAAAAATCGCCTCGTACTGCACATCGATAACCCCGGGGAACAATGACGTTCCCGTGTCACAAGATCGCCTCGATCTCCGTCGCTTGGAGATTTTAACAATGGCGTTTAACCGCTTTTATGGTAATTTCATCCCGGTATCTCCCGATGCAACCGCATACGGGTCATTCCCGACCCGAGGCAAGAAGCCTCTCTTTTCACCAGATCCCATCACGAAAACAACAGGTGCGTCTACCAGCTGAAAATTTTCATTTCCATCTCTGGTGAGACCGGGGACCGGTTGCACTGCCTCTCTTAAATCAGTCTTTAATGCAAAGTCTGACTCTTATAGCTGTCTTTAATTTCAACCGGTTGCACTGACCTCGACTGAGAGCCGATGCAACTGAGATTGAAGCCAGACTTTTCCGTCAGGCTTTTCGAGACTTTTCCAAGTCTGCCTTCGAAGGGAAAGCAATGTAGCAGGCCCCTAGTGTCGAATGAGTACGTTTTAAAAGCGTTACTTTTGACTACAAGTTACAACATAAGAGCCGCCACTTACAAGCTACATTTATGGAAAAGTTACCGGCTGCAACTGCATTTACCTAAAACCACGGATTGCAATAATCTTGAAACGATCACCTCGATTGAATAAAAGAAGGTCTCACAGACCTGGCTACCATTCAAAGCATTCCTAAACTGCCAAGAATAAAACCCAGGTCGTAGAGAACGCGTTCCCAAAGTTGCCGGAATCTCTGGAAGGCCGCTTGCAAAAGTATGCCATCTTCGTTCTCGCCCAATGTTTCGTCCTTCCGGAATCGACTCAATCGCAGAATCGCTATCGCAAAATCGCTGCTTAACCGAGTCACGTTGTCATGTTTCCCTTTTTTTTTCCCGCTCTTCCGGATCAAAATGCTGACGCGAAGGAAAAGCAACGAAATTTCTGTCGTGGCGAAAATTGTAATACAGTGAAGTTAAAAGTCCTCGTTTCAACGTGGAAAGTAAATCGTGACAGGTTCTCGTTACCGAGATTTGCAAAGAATTTGGAAAGAAGATTTGCAGTTAAAACGTCTCTCGAAACGCGTTACCACCCAACCTTGGCGCGACGTGTCGTGAACCCATTCGCGCATCATCACCGATGAACCCGAAATGAAAATCCCCTAGAACACTTCAATGACGACATGATCATTCCGTCAGCAAAATATCCGCAGAAAATATGACCACACAGCTCGAAGCAAAGAAGGACGTCAGCGCAAAGAACTTCACACAAGGACACCGGGAGCACACCAAATCCATTCGATGAGAACTCGAGAGAAAGAGCGGGAAAGCGGCCCAAAGCGCGGGAGAGCGGCCAAAAGCACGGGAGAGCGGCCGAAAGTGCCCTATCGCGTCGACCGACGTCACAGGCAACATAAAGTGGATCATCAATTGGAGATTAATGGCCTCAACCCAATCGGTGCCTGACGTCAGGAGTTACACGTCAAAAGCCGCAGGAGCACGAGTCACGAAGTCCTAATCGGTTCCAAGCCGGCAAAATTTTCACCCTAACCCAGAAAGAAAAAAAAAATACAAAGAAAAAAGGAACAAGAAAAAGTGGACACAACTGGGACGCCACCGCCGGAATGGATTTATCTGCCCTGCAAGCATCCGGTCGAGTTTCACAACACCTTATCCTTTGTGATCGAGCAATTCTTTAAAGTTATGCCATAAGTTCCAATTCTAATTTTGAACAATGTAATAAGAAATCCCTTTTTTGAAGTAATCACGACGACTGACTCGATGCCACCTCGCTTCGCCTCCTTTCTTTCCTAGAATACCTCTTTCCCGATCTCATATGTAACATTTTCTGACCTGGAAACCTTGACCTCGTGGATGGAGGTCATCAACATTATTTTCTCCTAATAGAGATCCACCTAATGATGCGTACTATATGACGTCAGTGGGCGCGAAAGTGCCCTTTCGGGCGTTCTCCTTTCATGTCACATTGGTCATAAACGGAATGGCCCGCATATTAGATGCACGACTCGTCTGTTCCTCGTCATCGACGAAGTACTTCCCGCCCCCCCCCCTCATGCTCCCCATGTTCCCTCTCTCCCCCCCCCCCCCCCCCTCCCCTCCCACCAATCCCCTCTGCATGAAGAAAAACCAGGAAACCTGAAAGCGCACATCGATTGCGATGGCAGCGAGTACATGAGGCAATCCCGGTGAGCATCGAGTCTCTCACGTCACCGGATCGATCGCGGGCAAAAGATCTCCCTTCGCCCGCGAAAGAAGACCTTTCGATCTCATCGACAGGCGAAGACCGTCCCTTTCGATCTCATCGACAGGCGAGGACCGTCGTGTCGTGACGGTCGATGTGAGCGGTCCCCGAGATGCATCTCCGCAGAACGGTGAATAATTGACGGGAGGACATCGAATGCGCGCGATGGGCTCATTATTAACGTAAGAAAAGACACGTCGGGATCCGGCGATAATGACGACTCCCGTTCCCATGGAGACCGTGACGCTTACGAAAGCGTGCAAAAATAGGCATCGGACAACAAGACAGCCCGCAAGTCTTCCCCAGCGGACGAGTCTTCCCAGGCTTCCCCCGACGGCGGTCGTTCCCTTTTTCTTTCTTCGTCCTCGCTCCCGATTCCCCGGGTCGATCCCGATGCATTGCATTGGGGATTAATGGAACCTTGAAAGCGGTTCCTCGCGGATCGACCCGGGTCTGCATCAATAATTCCACGGCAGGAAAAATGACGGCGAGCCATCGATAGAGACATTCGGTCCCCGAGGCGGAACCAAACCTCATTCCGTTTCCCCAACAACGCCCTATCATCATTAAGGGGAAGTGTGATGCGCCGATGTTCCACTTCCGCGTTCCCGATATGGCTTCCGAAAGCGGGTTTTTCTGCGGCCTTTTCGTGGCAAGCGCAGGTTCATCGCAGGAATTCGCATCCGTATTTCCAATTAGAAATACGCAGAAACTCGAGCTCAGGAGAATCTTTCGCCGCGATCGCCGACGGGACTCGGCAGGGAATCACGGGACCAAGCACGAAGACGGGGATCACGGGACCAAGCACGAAGACGGGGATCACGCGACCCGGCTTTCTCGCACCGCCCGCTCGTTCGTCTAATTTTAGGCATTAAGTCCTACTTTTTTCTTGCTTGCAGTATTCCGAGGGTGGATCCCGTTCCACCTCTGGAAGCCCGGTTGCGAGGCGGAATAAAATTTCTTTTTACGTCATTCAAGCTGCCCCCATTCCCGAACGGGAAAGGAAAACGCAGACCGCGAGTCCATCGCCATGGAAACGTTTCATCAGCGGCCTCGCGTCCATCGAAGCCATTAAAATCGATTTCGAGGCGACAAGGTGTGCAAATGTTTATCAGTTTCCATAGAGATTGCCCGCAGAGAGACAGACTCGGACATAAAATGCGGGTGCAGTGTGACATGTAGGCCATGCGTGCGTGCATTTCTTCGGGATACATAATGCATGATCCGAGCCGCACTTGAGACTACGCCTATCCAAAATGCATGGCCGATCGTCATCGAGATAAGGACAAAAGCCAAGTACCAGCAGAGGGGGGACACAAAGGACAGCCTTCTCTTTCGGTCGAGTCCTATTCACGAAGTGACACTCTCGCGCCATACACGAGAGGAAGAAGTGAGACTCTAGACATCCTCGACCACGCCCCCCCCCCCTCCCCTCCCCTCCCCTTCCCCAGAGACACACACCAAAAAAAAAAGGAACAGAATAAGCCTGCAAGTTTGTCCGACAACTCTCTATCCCAGTAGGTCCTCAAACTTTTTGAGCCGAGGGCCGCATTCGGACAAGATCAACCCTATCCGGGCCGCACTCAATTTACTGCTACTAATAAAAAAGACCGAACACCGAATACCTTTTCTCGACCGCAAAGTACCTCTCGTCCTCGCAGGCCGCGGTTTGAGTACCACTGCTCGACTCGGTTTCCCGAAACGACCGGATCCGTCACGGGGAGATCGTGCGAAAACGCTCCATTTCGGGGTTCAAAAGCGATCGAATCTCGCGAACTGCAAATCGGGATATGC